TCAACACATAAATTTATTTATCAAACTCTCCTCTAAATTTATTTATCAAACTAATCAACACATATTATATTAAAAATAACCATAATATATATTATTTTTATTATATTTATCAAACACATAAATTTATCAAATACATATATATTTATCAAAAACTAATCAACACATTATTTTTAATATATTTATCAAACACATATATTATTTTTATTATATTATATATTATTTTTATCAAAAACTAATCAACACATAAATTTATTTATCAAACTCTCCTCTAAATTTATTTATCAAACTAATCAACACATATTATATTAAAAATAACCATAATATATATTATTTTTATTATATTTATCAAACACATAAATTTATCAAATACATATATATTTATCAAAAACTAATCAACACATTATTTTTAATATATTTATCAAACACATATATTATTTTTATTATATTATATATTATTTTTATCAAAAACTAATCAACACATAAATTTATTTATCAAACTCTCCTCTAAATTTATTTATCAAACTAATCAACACATATTATATTAAAAATAACCATAATATATATTATTTTTATTATATTTATCAAACACATAAATTTATCAAATACATATATATTTATCAAAAACTAATCAACACATTATTTTTAATATATTTATCAAACACATATATTATTTTTATTATATTATATATTATTTTTATCAAAAACTAATCAACACATAAATTTATTTATCAAACTCTCCTCTAAATTTATTTATCAAACTAATCAACACATATTATATTAAAAATAACCATAATATATATTATTTTTATTATATTTATCAAACACATAAATTTATCAAATACATATATATTTATCAAAAACTAATCAACACATTATTTTTAATATATTTATCAAACACATATATTATTTTTATTATATTATATATTATTTTTATCAAAAACTAATCAACACATAAATTTATTTATCAAACTCTCCTCTAAATTTATTTATCAAACTAATCAACACATATTATATTAAAAATAACCATAATATATATTATTTTTATTATATTTATCAAACACATAAATTTATCAAATACATATATATTTATCAAAAACTAATCAACACATTATTTTTAATATATTTATCAAACACATATATTATTTTTATTATATTATATATTATTTTTATCAAAAACTAATCAACACATAAATTTATTTATCAAACTCTCCTCTAAATTTATTTATCAAACTAATCAACACATATTATATTAAAAATAACCATAATATATATTATTTTTATTATATTTATCAAACACATAAATTTATCAAATACATATATATTTATCAAAAACTAATCAACACATTATTTTTAATATATTTATCAAACACATATATTATTTTTATTATATTATATATTATTTTTATCAAAAACTAATCAACACATAAATTTATTTATCAAACTCTCCTCTAAATTTATTTATCAAACTAATCAACACATATTATATTAAAAATAACCATAATATATATTATTTTTATTATATTTATCAAACACATAAATTTATCAAATACATATATATTTATCAAAAACTAATCAACACATTATTTTTAATATATTTATCAAACACATATATTATTTTTATTATATTATATATTATTTTTATCAAAAACTAATCAACACATAAATTTATTTATCAAACTCTCCTCTAAATTTATTTATCAAACTAATCAACACATATTATATTAAAAATAACCATAATATATATTATTTTTATTATATTTATCAAACACATAAATTTATCAAATACATATATATTTATCAAAAACTAATCAACACATTATTTTTAATATATTTATCAAACACATATATTATTTTTATTATATTATATATTATTTTTATCAAAAACTAATCAACACATAAATTTATTTATCAAACTCTCCTCTAAATTTATTTATCAAACTAATCAACACATATTATATTAAAAATAACCATAATATATATTATTTTTATTATATTTATCAAACACATAAATTTATCAAATACATATATATTTATCAAAAACTAATCAACACATTATTTTTAATATATTTATCAAACACATATATTATTTTTATTATATTATATATTATTTTTATCAAAAACTAATCAACACATAAATTTATTTATCAAACTCTCCTCTAAATTTATTTATCAAACTAATCAACACATATTATATTAAAAATAACCATAATATATATTATTTTTATTATATTTATCAAACACATAAATTTATCAAATACATATATATTTATCAAAAACTAATCAACACATTATTTTTAATATATTTATCAAACACATATATTATAATATATTTTTAAAAATAACCACATTAAAAAACAAATTATAAACAAACCAAACACAACTTACCAAGCAAAACCATCCCATACCATAATATAAATAAAAAAATAACCATAGAAAAAAGAAAAAAGAAGATAGAAGAAAAAAATAATAATTATAAACAAACCGAGCACCAAGCAAAACCATTTGAAGAAGTCTTCAGCCAAAACAAAAAACAGAGCATGAAACAAAGACAAACAGAGCATGAGAGAAAAACCTTCAACGAAGAAGCTTGAAATCGGTGATGCGTTTGGGTTCGATTCGATGCTTCTCCTTGCAACACTTTACAAGATTGATGCCCATGGGCGATGGATTTGGGTTTGATTGAGGAGTTGAGTTTGGTCCGATTGAGGGAAAACTTTAGAGATTTGTACAGATTTATGGTGTCCCTGTGTCTGTGAGTCTGTGTGTATGTATTATTGCTTGAAGAAGACAAAATTTGAAGTGAAATGTTTGAGCCCGTGACTTTGTTTCCTTTCTTTTTTGCTTTTTCTTTTGTTTTTGCAGGTACTTTGGTTGATTCTTTTTTCTTTTGCAGGTGATTTGCTTTCCTCAATTATTTTTCCAGATGTTTTGCTCGTTTTTCAGTTGAATCGGTCTATATTGGAACTGTATCGCTCACGTATCGGATTCAAGCCAATACGTGTCGGGAATTGGCCGCTACGGACGTGAAATTCATTCTCACCGGTATACCGGTGAGTATCCGACTTGACACTCCCATTTTTCGTTACGAATCAGCCGGTACGACACGTACCGGCCGATATTTGGAACCTTGCTCCTTATCCCTCATATGGGGGACTATTGTATCCTGGGGGGTGTGGGACAATTTTCGGGGGACTATCCACTATTGGGATTATGTGGTAAAATAACCATTTTGACCCTCTACTATTTAATTATGTATTATATGTAGTAAAATTCAACAAAATTTAAATGTCTCAATTTAAAAATAGAATAATTTTTTAAAACTTTTTATTGATGTTTTATTTATTTAAAATAATTTTTTATAGATATTTTATTGATGTTTTATTTTAAAATTTTGTTTATATTTTATTTAATTTCATTATTTAAATGTTAATAGATGTTTTATTTAATTTCATTGTTTAATTATTATTATTTTTAAAAACAAATTTATTTCAAATTTTAATTAAAAAAATAACATATATTTTTATTGATATTTTATTTATTTAATTTAAAAAAATAAATTTATTTAATTGTGCAAAAAATAAAATAAAATAAATTTTTATTTAATGTAGCTAAAAATAATTAAAATATTAAAGATATGTTTAATATTGCTATTACTTAGTAAACAATTGAAAAATGGTAAAATATTCTTTTGTTCATTTATCTTATCTAGTCCGTCCAATCAAACGTTGAATTTACTAAAAATAGTCATTTTCAAATATCTAATCCCATAAAAAAATAAACACAGGACACATATCCAATCCAACCAAATAGTCCGGGGGATTCACAGTCTCAGAACTTAAGTCCGATGAATTCTAATCCCCCTTATCCAGTCCATCCAATCAAGCACACCATGAAGGTATAATAGTCATCTTTTAAATGAAAATGGCAGAGGGCTTAGATCCTCAGAATGAAACCAAGATCATCTTTCCAAAATGAGGAAGACTAATTATTAAGATGCACACCATGAAGGTATAATAGTCATCTTTTAAATGAAAATGGCAGAGGGCTTAGATCCTCAGAATGAAACCAAGATCATCTTTCCAAAATGAGGAAGACTAATTATTAAGATGCACTGCTAGAAACCTAAATAGAAAGATTGGGGAAAATAAAAAAGACAGATTTGTAATATCAACAATGATAGAGATCACTAATTTTGGAGCTCTAAAAAGACCACTAATGACATTGCACTCAATAAAAAAAGAAAAAAAATACAACATCAAAGCCAAAACATCAAATCATTCCTGGCGGGGCCCACTGTCACATCATTAGTGATAGCACTAATTAGTGCTTTCACTCATTTTCCTTGTAATATATAACCACACAAGCCCATTTTAGCTCCACAGTTTTTTTCAGTTGAATTTATGTTCATAAGGATTTAATTGGGATTTTACATATTAAAAACTAGCTAACACAATTCTCCTTATTTGGACTTGAAACCAACAGTATAACGGATGAAACACTAAACACGGTATAGACTGAGGCCTTGTTTTGGAATAAGCTATTTTAGTAACTTTTTTAATTTTTTAGCTGAAGTATGAAATAAAAAAAATTAATATATTTGAGATGACTTTTTAATTTTTTACGAAAAAATATGTAAAAAATAAAGAGAAAAATAATTTTTTTACTTTTTTGTATAATTTGTTAAATTTTTTAATTTTTTAATAAATTTTTAATTTTTAGGCTAAAATGTGATGCTGTCAAACAAGACCTGAGTTATTTTCAATTAGCTAAGCATGTAGCCATTAACAGAGAAAAAAATTATTAATATAGTTTATCCTACTTAATTAGGAAACAATAGTTCGTTTAGTTTGATTTGATTTCGTATAGTTATTTCCAGTCGAAACACTTCTCTTTTTGTATCCCCACCAAACCTGATTATACAAGAAGATATCTCAACCATTTCAAAATTTCATGACCCTCTTATTTAGCCCAGTAAAAAAATAAAATAAAAGAGAGGCAAATGAACAATCATAAGATGCAAACATAAAGTTAATATATGTTAACTACAAGCAGGTTGATGATAATATACAACATATAAATCTGAAAAAGCTAATATAGTTGCAAGAAGTTGATGTTGTATCTAGGATTGACTGGTTTTGCGGAAGCCGTGACCATCACAATGTTTTCTTTTCTTCGGTCTCTGAAGAAGGTAAAGAGCCCCAAGCAATGCCCTACACAGAGTTTACACTTCAATCAATACCACAAAAATGCACTTGTAAAAATATTTTTGCATTTTAATGTAATCTCAATGATTCACCTTTCTCCTGGTATATGTTGTCATGATTCAAACTTGTTGAACTGCTGCTGAAGCATTTGAAAGATTGTAATGTTTTGTGTTGGAAGAGGCTGGGGAGGTGGCGTTCTTAATAAAGGAGTTAATGTATGATCCCCTTGAGTGCTTGTGTGGTGCCTCTTGCGCACTGCTCGAGCAGGAGGTGGCTCTGCAGCCACCACCACCATTCCTTCTTTATTCATCACCGCTGAAAGGTCTGTCCTCTTCCACAAGCTATCACAAAACCGCTCCTCCTGCATTCGCCCATCCTTCCATTTACAAGGTTAAAGTTTCGTAAGTTTACAAGGTTAACGTTAGATTACTTAACATCGTCCTCATCCTAAACCAGCTCAAAACTTTTTTCGCATTGGGAGACAAGATAAGGATTTTTGAGTTTGCAAGACATTCACTTAATTACATATTTATAACTCAGTCATAAGTTGGTTACAGAAGCCATTAATTTTGTATCATACCTACCAACACGACAATTCATAAGATGGTCAGTAAAACATCATGCCGAATTTTCAAGACCCAATATTTGGATCTTGCCATTTTATAGTTAATGGTTTTGGAAATTCAAGGATGCTCCAATTTTCAATAATCACTCTCTTGGGAAGCTTTCAGTATAGGACAATTACCTATCAAAAGTTTGCAGATGACTGCCTAACAGAACCAACCACTGCCAGAATATCAATTGATATGCTCATTCTAGTCTTCTATTGGCTATTACTTGTATAAAGTAAAACATTTTTGTATGTTTTTACAGTTACACATATTTGTCAATGTATGCATAAAAAGTGTCATGACCGATTTAGAGATGCATAACACTCCTGGTTAAAAGACTAGGATTGTGAAATTAAAAATTGCCCAAACAGAGCAGGGAACATAGGGAACCTATAAATACTCAAAATGTTTGTAGCCTTATGTGTTGTTATCAAGATTAAATGTCAGGCTAGGCCAGAGCTAGCCATATAAATCTGATATTTCATATTATCCCCAAACAAAACCCAGTAAAGTTCCACTGAGTGTAACGCCTAAATAGACTCTTCATATCTTGTTTTCCTTTTACAGGCATCCAGTCTAAGCAGGAATAATTGTCACAACCTTCAAATTATTTGGAAATTGACATTACTTAAAATTGTAACGCAATCATCATTTAAGGCTCATTCTGTCAGTGAATTAGCAAACATCTACTTGCAGGTTAAAGATGCAAAAATATCACCTCAGCAATATCCCAAGCACTGCGATACCGATGCTACTAACCATTCCAGCCTACCTTTTTATTTTATTTATTTATTTTTTTTTTTAACAGAAAATTAGTATGTATAACTTTTCATCTTTGTAGGTGCATAAGTTCAAAATGTATTTACTAGATCAAGTTGTTACCTTATTAATCATTTATTTATCTTGTTTGAGAAACTGTTAGAAGTTTTTGGAAAATAACTATAAAACAATGATTTAAAGCAGTCAAGGTCTGTGAAGAAATTTTGAAATAATTTTTTATGATTAACGGATTTCATGGAAAATGGAGGGACATTACAAAAAACAAAGCAGAGCATGCTGCCAAGGACAAACAAAACAAAAACCAGGGAAAAACCAAACCCCCTCAGTTATCCTACATATGATCTTGCACATAAGGTTACTTTCTCCTATATAGAGAATTTATCTTGTTGATTCTACCAAATTGTTGCTGATTTCTGAATACAGTTCAAAAAGAGAATGTCTATGCACCTAGGAAGTATGGACACTCCAAAATGGGTGTCATATCTGTGTCGGACACTAACAAGACGCGGACATGAGCATCCACGTGTCAGACAAGCCACGTGGCATGTCAATTTTTTAATGATTATTTTTTGGTAGGATACATTGAGGATACTTCATGGACACGCATCACGTGTCTGGGGACACACCTCACGACACCTTTCCGGAGTTTTTTTTCAAATTTAAAAAGTTAATTTGGGGCAAGTAAAATACATTAAAAGAGTAAAGTGGAAGAAAACAAAAATACACCCTCCCACCCACACACACACTTATATATCGATGCTTTTCATATCTCCAAGCTCTAAATTTATATTCATACACATAAAAAATAAAATCATATATCTTTCTATTCTTATTTTTTATATTTTGTTTAACCATTTCCATGATGTGTCCATATCCTAAATTTTTGAAAATCACCGTGTCCAATGTTTGTGTCCATGTCCATGCTTCTTAGACATGCGCCTTCTAGTGATTTGTGATATGCTTGTGTACCATTATGTTCTAGTGGTTGGATTTCCTCATGAATTCCCCACAAACCTATTAACCTTCCATCATTGACCATGCATGTGACATGATTTGTTACTAAAATGATTGTTGAAGCATTACCAGTCCAAGTTCCCCGATTGAGGTTCAGTTCTAATGGGAGGTACCCCAAAGGTCTTTGGAGTCAATTTTCCAGACAATCATTGCAACTGCATCTCCAAGCAAGGTAATAAAAGCATACAACATTGCAGTTGCAAAATGAATACTTGCCAGAAGAGCTCTAGCTGAGTTACAATGTAAATCTTCCTAGAAATTTACCTAGATGAGCAATGTATTTCATCTTCAATATTTTCTTGAGAGGATAATCTTATGAAACTATAGTTTCTACACTTGCAGTATGAAATTGAATGCCAAGTTTTGGACAAAATACTGTTTCAATTCAATAATTATTTGTCCCAGAGCAAAGTAGTGTAGGTGATCATTCTGGCAAACTTGTGCCCAATAAGGCTCTTACGTATAATTCTAGCTGCAGCTATGCGAATATTCTTAGAAGATGCTTCCTAGTACACCCCTCTTAAGGTTGTTTAGATCGTTGATAAGTCTAAATGTACAAACGCCAAATACAGAATGGGACACAAATGTCTCACAAGGGGTGGGCATCCATTTTGACCAAGGTGCGAAAATGGTGCCCAAGCCCATCCATGGGTTAAGCTTAGCGGGCTTTCTCTGACAGGTTGGTTTGCAAGTCACAACCTTAGGCACAAAAACTACCCAATGGGCTTAACCGAACTGCTCAAAGGCCACTGAGCTTAGCCCAAACAATCAAGATTTAGGCCTATTTTTAGAGTTGTTTCCCCTTATTTTTCATATTTTATGCCGGCTCACGGTCCAAGCAAACCGGTGAGTGGGCCGACCAACCGCCTCTCATGAGCTAATAGGCTAGACCGGGCTTCAAATCTTAGGCCCAGGCCTATCCCAAGCGTCATTCAGGCCAAGCTAGACCACATAGAATACAAATTTGGCCTAGGTAAAAGCCCATTGGGCACAGTGGGACTAGGCCAGGCCGGGCCAGGTCGCAAGCCAAACAATGACCCTTAATCTCCATCATTTTATAGTGGAATTTGATTGCCATCTTCGTCAATGGATGTAGCCTAATTGGAGGTTGAACTCCCTAAATCTTGTGTTTTGCTTTTGTTCCTTATATATATATATATATATATTTTCCCACTATTTTTCACTATCAAATGCACAACACAATGTTTCTCTCTCACTTCTACATGCTCTGAAATTTAAATGTCACGCCACAATAAATTTAAAGAAAATTCCAAAATCAAATTTCAGTCATTCTCCAAACATTTCTACAAACTTGTTATGTCATATTACTTCAAAACAAACAAATAAGCACAACAATTAAAAAATAAATCAAAATGCCACCGGTAAAGCATTGAGCTATGCCAAATAGGTATGTAGCAAAAGATTCCAATTACACAAAGCAAATTACTTGCACCAATAAGTGCAGTTAATCTTCACAAACAACAACATCAATATCAATTTCATAAAACTCACTAATCACTAATAATTATAAATCAATGTCAATTTAATAAAATTTTAACTTATTCACTTACATTCATAACTGAGGAGTCTGGCATTGGGCATTTCACAGGTTGATCCTCATCCGGCGGCTCAATCGGATGCTCAACCGGCCAGAACTCAGTATTGCATTCAACCCCATTTTGGCACAAATCCATACTTCCCCTGTTTCTTGTCTCTCTGCTCTCATCTACTACAGCTGGAATTAGGGTTTCCTTCTTATCCTACAATCAGAAACAAAGAATCAACAAAAAACCCCCACCCAAGAACACATTTATATGTACAAAATCACAGAGAGAATGAAGGGGCTTACAAGATCATCCACAAATGAAAAACCCATGTAGAGAAATGACAAGAAAGCAAAGTAACAAAGCTAAATGAGAGAGTGAAAAAGGGGGAGAGAGAGAAATACCAGGAGGAGAGAGGTGGCAGGGTGGGATCGCATGTACAGGGAAAGGCGAGAAAAGATTCCCACCATTTCCAACTGGGTTCAAACTTTTTCTTTCTTTATTGGGTCCCTATCCATGTAAATATGTATATATGTCTCTATCTGATTTTGTGTGTGTGTGCATGAGAGAGAGAGAGAAGAGAGAGCTTTTTTCACTTTGTTGTTTTTGCTTTGATTTGCTTTAAGAAAAGTGATAGATTGTGTTGAAAAAATGTACCAATCTTCAACTTTTCTTCGTTTTGAGAGAGATTTTTTGTGTTGTTCACAGAGCCAGAACAATGAGAGAGAAAGAGAGAGATGTTTTTTGTGCAGCTGGCTTTGTGGCTGTGTGCAATCCAAGAAAAAGAGAGAGAGAGAGAGAGAGAGAGAGAGAGAGAGAGAGAGTGAGGCAGGAGAGCGGAAAGAGGGAGACTAAGGCCGCACCTTTAGCTTCCCTTTAGTAGCCGCAGTTCGTGAATCAACCCACAAAAGCCTTCAATACACAAATTAGGGTGCGCCATCCCGTCAGATGTAGTTTGAATGTAAAATTATAAATTAAATGGTTGATTTATTACCTGTTGAACTGTTAACGTAAGATAATTAGAGAGGTTTATAGGTTCATCAAAAATCTTATTTTTATAATTTAAATTATTTGTTTTTGTAAGATTTTCAATATATAATATTCATGAAAATAATTCAATAATGGTAGCTTTTTTATTTTATTACATTTGTCTCTGAAAAATAGATAATAGATATATTTTTAAAATAGATCATATATTTTTTTGGAGACAAAATGTTATAAAATGAAAATGTTATGATTATCAGACTGATTTAAATTTTTTTATGGATATTATACATTGAGATCTTTACAAAATGAACAATTTAAATTATCAAAAAATGACTCGTGGGCCCTATAGGCCCCTCAAGTTTTCTTATGTTGATATCTCAACATGAGAAAAAAAACCCAAACCTAAATTAAATTATGAATAACGGATTAATAAATAATTAAATTGTGAGTTGGGTTCAATTTATTAGTTAATTGAAAAATAATGTTAAATAATTATTAAGTATTTGCATAATATATAATATTAATTTGCATAATATTTTTCATATATAATACTAACTAATTTTACGTAAAATATTAATTTATAACAAATTTCACATCTTAAATCTCTCGCACATTGATTTTTATTTTAATATTTCATTAGAGATAATAAAAAAAATATACTTCTTTCGTCTCAAAATATTAATCTTTTTTCAAAAATCAATGATTAAAATAATATGAAAATTTCATTTTGTCTTTCTTTTAAATTTATTAATATTAATATTTTTGAAGTGTAATAATTATACTACCAAAGGGTTGTTTTGGAAAGTTAATACTTTTGAATTATAATAATTGTAATACAAAAAAAAGTTGAATTTTCCAAAAATGTCTAATATTTTAGGATGGAGGGAGTATGTGTTAACTGTAGCAGAATGAGGCAATTTCGAAGGTGGATTATAAATTTCAAACCGTGAATCAAACTAACGTACAATTAGCAGACAAATCGGTACAGATTAAGCAATTTTAAAGGATTGAACAGTATTTTGCACAGTCTTATCAAAGTAGATATCTGGTTCCATTTTGGTCATTGATATTTAGAAAGTATTAATTTAAGAAAAATTATTTACAAGCTCACTTTGTAAGTCCATTTTCTAAACCAGTAATGTATAATAGAGATGATTAACTGATGATTAGAAAAGATATAAGAGAGAGAATTGTTTTAGATATTTTAATACACTGCCACATTATTGTGTTTGTAAAGTGTGTCTGACTTTTAGACTAGAATTGCACTATCCTAAATTTAATTTTTAATTTATTAATTTTGCTAATAAATAAATTCTAAGGGAGTGAAAGTATTTTTGTCAAATTTAAATCAACAAAGTGAGAAAAAATAAACCCCAAAGTATATTATTTGTTTTAATTTGGTCCTTAATATTTCAATTGTGTCAATTTAAGCTCCAGTTTATTCAATGTCATAGGTAATTTCATAAAAATGATCTTATTTCGTAATTAATTGTAGAAGGAAACAAACAGAGATGGAGATTATTTAGTGAAAAAAATGATAAATTGATAATCAAATTGACAGAACTGAAACATATGAGATTAAAATGATATAGGATACATACTTTGATGATTTTGCGTATTTAACCCTTTCTATTACAATTTTATTTCAAACATAACATTGTCATTAATGATTCAAATCCTAAAATTTGTTTGATTTGGTTTTTAAAACTTATTTTTAACTTAAAAAATTAAAATTAGTTTAAAAAAATAAACACAAAAAAAGAAGATACATTCAAATTTTTCAAAATTATTGATGCCCTTAAAAAAAATCATATGAAACTAATGAGTATTTTAATAAAATAAAATAAAATTTACTAAACAAATTTTTGAAATTAAAAAAAAAAAATCGATTCTTAAAACTCTACGAAACACATTTTCCCCACCATCGCCACCCACTGCCATCACCATCTACTCGCCATCACCCCTCTCTACTCCATCGATTGCCACTACCACCCTTTTTCATCCTTCCACTGCTTCTTCTCATCGATCTCCATCTCGTATATTGCCCATGTCCACCCTCTCTTACTTGCAACAGTCTTCCACTTCTATCCCTGTCTTCCTCTACTGATGTTGCCTCGTAAAGTCACCCTCTTACCTATTCCGTCGTCCTCCCTTGCAATCTTTTGCAATTGCCTTATTCGCTTTCCCAATCACTACCTACTGTTGGGAAAAATGATTTTTAGGGACTTTGATTTAATATTAAAGTGTGGTGACTTTAATTAAATATTAAAGTAGGTCCTAACCATTTTTTGTGTTAGGTCCAAGTGAGCCAAAAATCATTGAGTTTTGAATAAGAAATTGCCAAGAAATTGCTTCATGATGTTAGATTCATGAATAGGATTTTAAAGAGTATTTAAATCTTTTTCTTGGCTAAAGGGTGTGAATCCTTTGGGCATCCATACTTTTCATTTTGTGGAAAGGGGTTATGGATGCTTGGTGTTTTAATGACTAGCTTTAAAGGCTGGAGGCTTTTCCTCTCTCCCCTATACATGTATAAATTGAGACCCTCCTGTCAAGTTTCAATATAGAAATTTTTGCTTCCATTTTACAAGTCAGTTTGCTTGATAGTTCCTATTGTGAGAGAGTGCTGCCATTGTTTTGTTCGCTAAGCTAGACAGATAGTGTTTCTGCCGTAACTGGTTTTGACCGTCATATCCTGGGAGACAGACGCCGGGTTTCCTCAAGCACTCGACCCGTAAGGCGGCGAAATCTGTTTTAAGGAAACTGCTAGCGTGCAGGCTTCAATTTGGTTTCTTTATCATTTTATTGTTTTGTTTATTTCTGTTGAAATTTAGTTGTAATTATCAGCATATGTTCTTGGTATATAATTTGTTTTCTTCATAAATCTATTTATTTAATTTCACAATTTTGAACAACAAGCTTAAAACAGATTTTATATATCTTTTCTATGAAATTGATCGAATAGATTTATATAGACTATTAGGTTAGCTTTGTATAATGTTACTAGGAATTGTTGCGGAATTGCTCACTATTTCAATAATTGTAAATTATGCAATGGTGCTCTCTAATTGCTTAGTTTAATTAGAATGCTCTATTATAATTTGCATACTTAATTGTATTAGTATGATTTTGTTTTATGCGTATGGTTCATCATTTCTCTACCATGATTTGCATGAATTTTAAGGTTATAAAATATAATTTATGGATGTTGCAATTTTGACATGCTAATTCTATTCTAGTCTCAATTTGTTACATGCTTATTATTTTCTAGGCTGGATTACATAATTTAATGTATTTGGAGTTATAGAGTTTTATGAATTGTGTACATGATTAATCTAAATTATCTAATTGTGTGCATTAATATGAATTATTTAATTGGGTGCATTAATCTAAATTATCTAATTGAGTGCATTAATCTGAGTTATTTAATTAGGTGCATTAATCTGAATTATTTATTTGGGTGCATTAATCTGAATTATTTAATTAGGTGCATTAATCTGAATTATTTAATTGGGTGCATTAACTTTGAATTTGGCTTATCTATTTGGAGTTATTAGTTTAAATGTTTATTATGAATTAATTTCATTCATGTCTCATGAGTATTGAACTTTATTTTAAAGTTGTAATTTAATTTTGAAGTTACAAATTGTATTTTGTTTTGGTACCTTATATTAGTTGGTTACTTATATAATTAATAGTTGGCTAGATGGTTTCAATTATTTATTATAATTAAATTTTTTAGATTATTTGTTTGTATTTTGTTGTGGTTTGCTACTAACTTTCTTTGTAGGGATACCAATACGAAAAACAAATATAAAACCAAATGAATAGAATTTGGGATGTAAAAACAAAAATGTTTGGACTACTAACGTTTGTGTTGAATAGGAATACCTAAGCGTGAAAAAGCTTTTGGACTATATAGAATCCTTATGGATTGGCTATTTTATCAAAATGTTTGAAGCATGTTTGCTTGAGATAAATGGAAACTATCACTGATGCTGATGCTGCTGCTACTGCTAATGTTAGTGGGGATTTGAACCCCGGGGCAACTGGATTGCCAACCCCTACTGCTGTGACCTCTGTGGTCAACCCTGGTGTTACTCCTGTTGTTCCGGGAGGATCGCTTAGTCACCATGAGCACCCAGAAAAATTTGCTGGGAAAAACTTTAAGAGATGGCAGCAAAAGATGTTGTTTTACTTGACCACGCTAAACCTTGCCAAGGTTCTGAGTGAGGATCCTCCAGCCGTGGTAGAGAATGAGCTTGACAGGCAGAAAATCATGGCGCTTGACACATGGAAGCAGACAGACCCTGGTGTTACTCCTGCTGTTCCGGGAGGATCGCTTAGTCACCATGAGCACCCAGAAAAATTTGTTGGGAAAAACTTTAAGAGATGGCAGCAAAAGATGTTGTTTTACTTGACCACGCTAAACCTTGCCAAGGTTCTGAGTGAGGATCCTCCAGCCGTGGTAGAGAATGAGCTTGACAGGCAGAAAATCATGGCGCTTGACACATGGAAGCAGACAGACTATCTTTGCTGGAACTATGTGTTCAACAGCTTGGCAGACTCACTTTATAGTGTGTTTTGTTCCAAGAGCTCAGCAAAAGAATTATGGGAATCTCTGGACAAAAAGTACAGGACTGAGGATGCCGGGGCAAAGAAATTTGTGGTTGGCCGTTTCCTTGATTTTAAAATGGTAGATTCTAAAACTGTGATAAGCCAAGTCCAGGAGTTCCAAGTGATCTTGCATGAAATTCATGCTGAGGGGATGCCTTTGAACGAGTCATTCCAAGTTGCTGTGATCATTGAGAAA